ACCAAATCTAGGTTCTCCAAGAGAACGTGGGAAAAAAAAAAAAAAAAAGAGGAAGAAGGAAAGAGAAAATCCCCAAAACCCAAGCCTGTTTCTCCGCAGATTTGAATTGAATGTGATAGGGATTCAGCAGAGAATAAGCCGAGGATAGGCCAACCAATGTGAGGAAAATATATTTTAATAGATGGACCGGTGGTGTGTAGCATGAGGTGTGGGTTTAGGGTGTGTACGTATCATGATCCTTTTTCTTTTTGTCAATTTTTGTGTATCTCGAAACTAATTTTAAAATCGCACCTCCTTGTATAAGTTTGGTGCATATGTTCAAGAAAATTAAATATTTTTAGTACTACTTAAAATCTAATTTTTAGCAACATAGTAGTACATCGGTGAAAGTGCTCTTTATATTGTTGAAAGTAATTAAGCAACAAGAACCATGTTGCTGATGTCTTTGTTGGAGAAGTTTTGACCGGTAATACATTAGCAGCAAGCTTTACATTGTTGATTCAAGGCATCCTTTTCAGTAACATACCCTTTGTTGTTGAAGGTGGAATTTCATCGACATGGTTCATGTTGCTAAAAAAGTCGTGGGAGCCGATTACCAAAATTTTGCATCCGTTTCAACAACATGTCCCTTATTGCTAATACTTTGTGAATAGTGTAGCATTCTATTTTCAACAAAAAATCCCTTGTTGCTGATAATCTCATGAATGGTAAGGCCATCCTATTTTCAGCAACATATCTCTTGTTGTTGATTATTTCGTGAATAGTGAGCATCTTACTTTCAGCAACAAGTTTCTTGTTGCTGATAATCTCATAAATAGTAAGGCCACTACATTTTTAGTAACCTATCTTTTGTTGCTGATTATTTCGTGAATAGTGAGCATCCTACTTTCAGCAACAAGGGATTTGTTGCTGATTATCTTGTAAATAATACAAGCATGCATGCCTCCTACTAATTATCAAGACGTTTCATGTTGGTGATGCTCAAAAATGCCATTTTTTGAATTGTTTTATTGACAAGTGGTATGTTGCTGAAAAGGATTTTACTTCGAAAAAAAGATTCATAAATTTTCTGTACCAATATTATGAATACATATTTCTCAGTTACATTAATATTTAAAAATTTTTAATTAAATTTTTTTTCAACCTATCATTATAAAATTTAACAATAATGTATTATTTAATTATAAAATTTACTTTTTGTAATTATAATCACTAAATAATAAATTTCATGATATCTCACTTATAATATAATAAATTATACAAAAAAAATTGTAACTGAATAATTAATATTTATTTTTACCATCTATATCTAAAGTTTTAGCTAATTAAATACATTTAAAATAAACATCTCAAGGCAATTAATATTAATTTAGAGAGCTTACCAAACTTGAATTTTTGTTGGTAATGTTTTTTACCTACAAAACAAACAAAATACCAAAATTAATAATTATTATACATATAGTTATTTATAATTTTATTAACTCTCAAATAAATTGAAACATACTTAATCACATAATTGTTATAAAAATATTGAATACAATAAAATCACAATATATGCCTCAAGAGAATGAAGAAGTTGATGAAAATTAATTTAATTATTGATATATGTTTGAGAATTTTATGATAAAAGATAATAAACAAATGATACTTGATCAATAATTAATGGATAAAAAATGAGTGAAATATAGACGATTTGTGCCAAAAAAAAAAAAAGCTGAGAAATGGAGGAGGCAGAGAACATATCATGCAAGAGAGAATGGGAGGGGAAATGAAGGCATTGCTCAGCTTGATTGGGTTGGGAGTATATATAAAGCCTTCAGTGTCATATACCATGTTGCTAAAAAACTTTTTCCCCCAGTTAGTAACAAATTCCATGTTGTTAAAACTTGGTTGAATTTAAAATGGCATAACTTATCACTAACATATATCGTATTGCTAAAAATTCAAATTACCTTTCTTGTCCATTATGTGATTCATATACTTAAAAAAATTCGTTTTTATCTCTAAAATTTAATTAATTAGTTGATTTTTGTAACTTTATTTAAAATCACTTAACGCATTAATTCATATAATTATATTATTCACTCTTTATTTAAATGATTTAAATCTCTAATTTATCTTAAAAAATAATGTGGACATGCTTTTGAGTTTATAAAAGTATTTCACATAGAAATATAAAATATTTTT